AGGTAAAAGTGATTAAACAATTGGCCTCACCGATAACCGAATAAGGATTTGTGCGAATAAGTATAATATGTTCTTGATGAATCTGTGCTGGCCTTCGTCTATTTCGTTGAAAAAGGTCTTATCAAAAACAGAAACCATAATTAAGAATAAACCAATCATACTCACATATGATACCTAATTTGTTCAAATCTAACCAGACGTCTTATCATTATAATGGCTACTAAAGCTCGTATTTAAGACCTACTGATAGTCTTGAAATCCTACTTAATTTGAAATCCAAACTATGCTCCTGTAGAAGTGGCCTGACCTCGTATTCACAACTTGTTCGTCTTTCTGGTAAATGTACTAAGTCCATCGTCCGAATCTGGAAATTATCACGCCTACTTTACGGTAGAGAAGTCCGGACAAATCTCGTCTCTTGGACAATGCTAAACTGATGTCATATTGTGTCTGAAAACGAAAGGATAATGTGACCATAGTATAGGCCAAACTACATCATGATCTTCATAACTTTGATTGAATTGCGACCTTACAAGTCTTAGAGACCACTACTTTGGTTTTAACCCTGCCTGCAAAAAGTGTAGAGGCTGAAAAAAGTCAAAAGAGTCATTATTCATCAGGGCCCCACCTCTGTGCCCACACAGCCTGACAACCAGAGCAAGGGCAGAGTTTAAGCAATGTCTTGACACTGCCACATCATGGCAGTGAGCTGAGCCCGAGTGGGGGAAGACGTCACGGCGACTGAAGCACAGTAAACAGGTAGAGCGAAATCACTCCTCAGGCAGACGAAGGAGCACAAGAGCAAGAAGAGGAAATGGAGACACCAAAACAGTGGACACATTGCACACTGGACGTGGAAATGAGTTGGGAAGACGAGTCGGGTGGCCAGGGGTTGGGCTCCGGAGTCCGGGGTTTGTGATAGAGGTGCGAGAGAGAGCCTGAAGAGGGGACGTTGACGGTGGGCTGTGAGGTGTGAGATGTTGGGCAGAACAGTTACAGGCAGTGAGCGAATAAAACCACAATTCTGTCATGCTGAGCAAAGGGAAGGGTTAACCAAGCCACTGTATCCGGTTGTCCCTGATTGCGGGGTAATTAAAAATATGCAGATTAGCTCCTGCTCATGCGGTCTCATGGCCTTCGTGGTCTTTCCAAGTCTCGCCCTCCTCACCCCCCTTACCCCACCCCACAAACACATACATGCACATCTGCTTACGGACACATGTAGGCATAGGCATTCACATCTTGGCCGAATGGGAGTACTCATCCTTATGTTCGGCCGACCGGGCTTGATCCGCACGAGATGCATGAGGCATTTGAGTGTGGTGTCGAGGGGAGGAGTGGTTGGGCGGGGAGATGCTGAGAACGACAGCTCAAAGAGCTGGCCACATCCCGACTTGAGTAGCCCAAACCATTTGTCCCCAACCTGTCAGTGGCTAACAGACAAGGCTCGAGACCGTTGAGCGGCTGTACAGCCGTGGGCGGTGCGCACCGATCGCACCTCCCTCGCCCACACACGCACAAACAGAGATGCACACGCTTAGAGATAGATACATTTTCTTCTTGTCCGACAGTCTTGCATATCAAACCTTCATGATTTGGTTGTCGAAAGCCCGGATCTTGAGTCTTTTCGAGTGCCGTATTTTGACGTGTTGAGCGCTCGAAAAGGTGCCATTGTTTCCAGCGTTATTCCGTTTCTTCACATTTCTTCACCTGGGCCCATTCCCACTTATCTGTCTTTGTAATGAGGTGCACGCTCATGGGCGAGCGAGTACAGATTTGCATTCAAGTGGGGGTGGAGATGGGGGCCAGCCGGACTAGTTGAGGTGACTACTAAAGAGCGGGCCCTTATTGAACGATTATGTCCTGGCGACTATTGCACCTCGAAGGCCACTCAAAAGCCCCATCTTCGCTCTGTACAACCGGCTCCATCGGGCGGCCGTAGTCCGGCCGACTTGCCAGACACCCGAAGGCCTCATCACACTCGATGAGGCGAACTATGAGCTCGGATTAGCGACTGCGACACGTCGGACGGAACGGGCCATCCGGACGCATGTAGATGACGCGAAGAGTACACATCCAATTGTAAAGCTTTCACATAGACCCCGAGCATGGGCTTCGCGTCGTCGTGCCGCCTGGCAAGGCAAAACCGGGAGAGACTGCAGCCTGTGGCAGACGAGAGCGGACCACACGATGCTGTCCTTCCGAGTGCCTGATCTCGAAGTTGGCGCAGGTAGGATGGCCCAAGGTGGTGTGTGCAGACTATGACTCCCAAGTGGGAGTGGGCCTGTGTCATATCGAGTGGATGTGGACCGACGAGTGTCGGCCGAGTGGCAAAAAAGAGGACAGACAAACCGGAAGAGTTCATTTCCATCGGTCCGGTTGCTCAGGCCTTGGCGGCTTGGAGATTCGAGCAGGATGGTCGGCTTTTGTTAGTGACTATGAGTACAAACCGGTTCACACCCTTTACCCTTCAACCTCCGCGAGATGGGATAATGAAAAGGAGAGGCAATGACCACTGTATTACGCCTTAATAGTAGCCTAGACTAGTCGGCAGTCGACACCAATTTCGGTCATGTAGGTGAGGCGACTGCGATGGAGATGTGTGTATTCTGATT